CAAGGTGGGGTGGTTCACGTCACTGAGAATCTAAAGTTTCTTGGTTAGAATCTGTAGCAAGCCCCAGTGGTGTTGGGAAGGGCATGTTACACCTATTTCCATTGGACAATTTCATTGGTGGCGTTGGAGTATTGAAAAGGGTTTTGATTTTTACTTTTTATGTGTCCAGGTGATGCACCTGATAGAAGAGAAGCTGACAGTAGAGCAGGAGTACCAGGACAAGGTTAAACAGGTAAGGAAGGTGTAGGTTAGCTTCATCCATGTTCTGCCTACTGAAAAGCTATTCTCTGTCTCTGTCATGACAAGAAAGATAAACACTGTTAAAGTAACTTAAACATAATAAAGAGGAACATACAAACCAAGGAAACTCCTCAAACTGCTTTCACAAGTGCAGTGAACCATTGGTTGACCAAGATATTTGTTTATTTGATTATCTGGCTACTTGAGACTGTTGAGTTTTATTGACAAGGATATTTGTTTGTTTGTTTATTTGCTTTCTTGGTTGTCTAGCTACCCCAGAATGTCAAGTTTTGTTGAAAACAATACATGTTTTGTTTACCTTCCTCAGACAGAATTCTGAGTTGTATTTACAAGAATATTTGTTTGTTTGTTTGTTTGTTATTTAGATGCAGCAGCAGATTGACCAGCTCCGGAGAGAGAACGCCCAGCTCCAGTCCCAGCTCAGTACTTACCAACAGGAGGATGGCAGTAAGGCTGTAAGTCTGGTGGTTTAGCACACTTCTCCCTCAGGCCTTTCCAACAAAATGGCTCTTTTCTTAGCTACATGTAAGACAAGAAATCAGAGATTTCAGACTTGCTGAAAGTATGCAAGTATACAGGAAGTCTTGGTAATCCTTTGAAGTCAAAGATGACTGTAAAGGTGTAAAGAAAGTATTCTTGTGGTATTCCCCCATGTTGACCTCTGAGACCTTCACATTCACCCCATTTCTTGTACATGTGTTTGATGTTTGAACAGGAACAACTGTACAATATAGCTGTATATAGTTGTGAGGAGGGTGAAGTTGCATGCTCAGATTCAAATCATTCCCTTTTCACTGTAGACCATCCACCAATAGATAGAAATACAGCTACAATGTATTAATTACTTTAAGGCAATTTTGTTCTTCCCCCAGACGATCCACCAGCAGTTGAACGAGACGTTAGGCCACGTGGACGAGCTGCGGACGGACAACTCTCGACTCCGGGAGGAAAACAACAACCTTCTTCTGGAGCTGCAGGCATATCGAGAGTTCCAGGTATGAAACATGAGCATTGCACTAGTAGTAGCTGCTTCAATGCTTCACCTCAGTCAAGGATGACTTAGGTGTCTTTTACTTGTGTATACAATGTATGTATGCAGGGCTCGAAATACTTTTTCTGCATACATTGAAAATTACCTGCACCAGACAAATTTTACCTGCACCACTCTGCATTTAGGAGGTATGGATCATACATAAACTGTTCAGAAACCATTGCTATTATTTCTTTTATACTTCATGAGAGGTAACAGAGAATGCAGCAAATAATAATCTATGCACCTACATTTGTACATCAGAAATACCTGCACAGCCTCAACTTTACCTACACTAAGGTGCATTTACCCAGTATTTTGAGCCCTGGTATGTGACATATCAGCCAATTTTTAAAAAGCAAACCTGACCTGAACAGGGTAAGAACGAGATCCTGTCGGAGGAACTTCGTGAGGTGAACCAGAAGAACCGTGAGCTGAAGTTCCGCATCGCGAAGCTGGAGAAGGAGATCGTGTCATCAGAACAGGACCAGGAGGAGGCGGAGACAGCGCACGTGTCTAATGCCAGGTGGGGCAGATTTTTAAAAATGCTTATGTTAACCCTCGCAGAAGGAAAACAATATTGTTTTTGCTGTGAAGGTTAGACATCCACGTATAAGATACGCCCAAAACAGTTACTCAACTGGAATCCAATATGATTTTAGAATATTGTTTTTGCTCTGTTTCTTCCTCTTCCTCTAAACAAAGAAGAACTTTATTGCACGACAATTGCACATGGTACAATGTATGGCAAACTACATAAAGAAAGTAGCAAATAATAAAATGTCTTGAACAAGACCTAATGTCTAAACAAATAAGGTCAATGATCTGGACCAGACGTCTGTCACCATGGTAACTGGTGCTGTAGCAGACACCCTGTGGTGTTGGGTTACATTATGTAGCAGGACAACACAGGTATTTTTCAAAGCAGCTGTTGCTACTACCATATGTGATTTGGCCTTGAGTTCCAAAGATTGTTGATTAGAAAACCATGCAATTCATTCACTGATCAATTGATTATCCTTTTTTCAATTGAAGCAGCAGCGATCGGTCTTTTCGAATTGACTGATTGATTGATTGATGACAGGTTACAGAAGAGGGTCCAGTCCCTGGAGGAGGAGGTGATGCTGAGAAAAGAGCATCAGGAGCAACCGCTCTTTTTCAATTGATTGTTTGATTGATTGATTGATTGATTGATTGATTGGTTGATTGATTGAATGATTGATGATTCATTTATGAATTGATTGTTGGATTGTTTAACAGGTTACAGAAGAGGGTCCAGTCCCTGGAGGAGGAGGTGATGCTGAGGAAAGAGCATCAGGAGGAGCAGCAGCGATCGCTCTCCGACCTCAGCGAGCAGTACGACAAGAACAGGGCGCTCTTCGACGCTCTCGCGATGGAGAAAGAAGAGATGGCAAACACGATCGCGCAACTCCGAGACCAGGTACGGAGACTAGAGCAACAGTCGAGTGCCCAACAGGCTGGGTTTAAGGAGTTCGTTGCTCTAAAGCGAGAGTTTAACACCCTGAAACAGGAGTACGACGTGTTGGCCATGAGGGACAAGATGAGGCAAGTTTCGCTGCCGAGTCTGAAGGAGACGTCGCCGAAGTTACGGGCGCTGACGTCGGCGAAGTCTGCCCAGTCCGAACCTGCTCTGATGAAAATAGATGCTGGGAAGAGACACAAGAAGCCAAAAGCTTTGACGCATCTTTCCAGTTTCACTGAAGGAGGGCATAGATAGAGCCTGTGAAGCAACTCCATCTAGCAGGAGTTGAGAAAATTGCAGGAGTATGTCGTTGAACATTGGACATGGAGAAAAGAGGCACTAGCATTTGATGTGTATAGGAGGGCATAGATAATGTCTCATGAAAGTTTATCTGTGTTGGTATTAATCATACATGTAGTAAAATGTTGAACTTTATTCGAACACAAGGGTTACACAGAGATCAAATTTCAACTCTTGCAAGTTAACATTCGCAAGTGATTGGTCATTAATTATCCTGATGAAGGCGACAGCCATTGAAAATTTGATCTCTGTGTAACCCTTGTGTTGGAATAAAGTTCAACATTTTACTATGGATGAAGCCTGTCGACTGTGCAGCAACTCCATCTAGCAGGAGTTGAGAAAATTGCAGGAGTATATCATTGAATAATGGACATGGGGAAGACAATTTTAAGAGGCACTAGCCTTTGAGGCATCCTCATAGATTCACAGCAAGTTTAAACTGTGCAGAGCCTGTTGACTGTTAAGGTGTGCCACCTAGCAGTTGTTGAGAACATTGCAGCAAAAAGAAAAGTTTGAAAGCGCAAGGCTGAAAGTTAATCTGTTGAGCTTCACTTTCGGAAGATAGATTGACGTAAGCATTGAAATGTAGACAGACTGTGAAGCAGTGCCACCTACCAGCAACTGAAGAAGTGCAGCAGTAATGGCCACTACAGACCAACTGTTAGTGTTATACATGTATAACATGTTCTGTCTAATTCAGAAAAGAGATAATTTTCCATGACAACTTGTATAATTTTCCCAAGAATTATATGAGTCTTTACATACTAGTAATTTTTATATATCTTGTCTAAAATTTTAATGTAATGTTATGTTGCATTGCAACATATGCCTATAGCAAATTCCTTTTTGCATTGATGAAATTTTGGTGTCAAAGCTTTGATATAGAATTACATTTATACTATAGTTTTGTAGCAAATTCATGTGAACATATCAACAGTGGAACCTAAAATGTCTGTATATACATAATTGTTATAAGGGCTAATTGGTACAGTTTATTCTTACATGGGTATAAGAGTCAAAATAAATGTGAAATGTCTGTATTGTTTAAAATTCTGTCTTTTTCAAATGTTATCCACAAATGATGTGACTTTCCCCACCTCTTGCTTTTCCAAGAAAACAATGTACTAGTATTAGGAAGCTAGTACCTGCTAATTGTGCCTGAAAACCAATTATAATGTGAAAAAATTAGGTGTATTACTGTATCTGACATCACTTTTTATATCAAAATAAATTTTGAGCCGTTGTAAAGCACAATGCGCTTCGAAAAGCTGATACTTTTTGGAATTTTTTATAGAAAAGTGTAGAAATCATGCATTTTATAATCATGCATATTTTCCCGTTAGCTATGGGGCCTTGAAAGGCATATTTGATTGACAGACCTGAACATTCTCTCAACCTGAACATTCTCTCAACCTGAACATTCTCTCAACCTGAACATTCTCTCAACCTGAACATTCTCTCAAAAATCCATCAGTTCTATCAGGAGATATAAGTGTTTGAAGATTAACACATCCACAGACTTTTAAGAATCAGTAGATTGATTGCTATGGCCGTTGCTAGGGACAGCTTGGGCTGTGGTCTGCACAGGAATAGATGCTAAAATTTTATTTTTCTGCCAGCTTTTGCGTTTGTGTGTACAGAAATGCAGGTAAGAGATGCCTGGTGTCTGCATATAAATGACGCAATATTTCTCTCTATTACAAGAGGATTTTTACAAAAACTTTAGAAGCGTTGGTAAGAACGCGTTTGGCGTACTCACAACACGTTGTACTTGTAGTAGGAATCACAACTTTGCTACACGGTGAAAAGAACAACGGAACAGAACAGTAGAACGCCTGTTGTAGATCCCCTGTTCTAGATCCCATCTGTTACGGATTCAAATCACTTTTCCTGTGCGCACCTTGCGAAGGGGTCATGTTTCAAGTCAGGTGAGTGCTTCTTTTTTCTGTTAAAAGCTGTTTAACGATATCCAGCATCAGTTAGGGCAATGTCCGTCGTCCCAATACAGAAATGTCTATAGTAAGGTTGAACTATTCCGTACGAGTGAAAATACTATACGCAGAGGGCAGGCAAATTTGTGCCGTGATTACAAATTACGCAAAATTTTCGCCGCCGATTACGCATTACGTTTTAGTCTCAGAGCCTACTACGACTTAACGCTTTGCCGGTGATTTTTAGGGGGCTGCCTACGGATGACGAATTGAGACTAAAAATGCCTGATTACGCCTTACAGAAAATGGCATGCAGGCCCCCTAATATTACACTCGGCTCTTTTTTGCATACAAATTATTTAATTTCTGAGGCTGAGCCTGAATGTGATTTCATCACATGATCAGGTGTATGATTATAGCAACCTCGTAAAGTGTTTTTCATGAAATATGATGGTCACGTTTATTGAAACAAAGGTAATTTTTTGCACTTGTTATGCTTTATAAAAAAAGTTAAAATGGACATGTCGTTTGATTTCGAACCGTCGAAGCCTGGTGGAATGTTCCGTTTCCCCGGCAACGGTGGAATGTTTTGTTTCCCCGGCAACGGAGGAATGTTTTGTTTCCCCGGCAACGGTGGAATGTTCCGTTTCCCCGGCAACGGTGGAATGTTTTGTTTCCCCGGCAACGGTGGAATGTTTTGTTTCGGCGAACTGTTCTGGTAGCCTGGTAGAGGCTAGACAGACTGTACTGGAGTCTGTGGAGACAAAACTTCACTAGCCGCACCTCATAGAGGAAGAATGAAGGAGAATGAGATCACGGTGAGTCACAGTGCTACTTAGTTTCCGCTTCCGATTTACCGGTAATTTATTTTCCTTTGCTATTATTATTATATTAGATAAGGTTACGTTTTCTGAACCATTACGCCTGTGTGCAAGGCGCTACACTGAAGTGAAATGCACAGCTGTGCAGCTTTTAAGTTTTATGGTTGTGATCTTTATCTGTCAATATTATAGCTCATGTTGCGCGCGTTTTTGGTCAGATATTATTACCCAAGGTATGTGCGTTTGCATGGAACATAGGTCGGGATTAGGACCCCTCCCGTTATGTTATGTTATAGGTGCCGATTGTCCACACAGTAAGCCATGTAGAACAGAGAAACATTTTTGCTCCGAACGAAAGGTAACGACACTTTTAAAGGAAAAACCGGACACTATGGGCTGTTACTGCAATTTAACGTTACAAACCTCAGACATATGTACTGACAATGGCATAGTTGCACATGAATCCCACGTTTTCTAGCTTTTTGATTATATGAATCCCATTTGAAAATCTTTCAGCATGTCTAGTTGTGACGGCAAAATTTGAGTCGTTTTGTTAACTTTTGCCTAACAGTCGTTGAAAGTTGCAACATTTAAAAACTGGAAAAAAAAATAGAACGTGCCGTTTAGAACGCCCTTCGAAAGAACGCCCTTCGAAAGAACGCAGTTCAAATTTGACGATTTTTAAAAGGTTTGCACTAAAGGAACTAAAATCCTCTTTCTGTACATAATTCACAGTTATTATGTAACTATAATATTGCATGTGATGGCCGTGGTAATAAAGCTGCTCATGAGAAGAAACGAATTTTATTACGCCACGCTAAATGTAGTCAAAACGCAGGATGGTGTGTGTCTATAGTTACAACTGGGCTGAAATTTCTCCACCGCGATGTGTGCATCGTCGCAGTTTTTTGGGGGGCAAACCCGTTTGTCCTAAAATTAACCAGGTGTCTTTGGTATCAATGTAAAGGTGAAGAAGTGGGCTATCACACTGTAGTGAACTTTAAAAATGATAATACAGTACAATCTACGTAGTGCACTGTAATGTATGATTTGGGGATAGTATTTCTCGTGCAACGCATCACACCGCAGCGAAACGCAACGAATGCAGAAGTAACTACGCCACCGCAGGGCAGAAAAAGTCAAGGGTCTAATGACCTGATATTTAAGACATCAAATTATTTGAAAATGTTGTGTAAACAAATGCCAGCAGGACAAGGGACAGTTGACCTGCATATGGAGGGGTTACAGTGGTCGAAAACCCTAGCGACAAGGGATGGTACTGCAGATAATGAGCAAACAACAAAAACAAAGCAGGCTTTAAAAAGCATTGCCGTGGCGACGACTGAATGATATATTATTGCATTTGGTGGAGCTAGCAATCTCCATTACCATCATAAGAAAAACAGATTTCCCTATTTTATAAACACATGCATGTAGTGAAATTTACAGGATGGGTGGAGGTGTGGGGCTATATACCAAATAACGTTACACGTATAGGAGGAATCAGCCGTTCTTCCCCCCTAAAAAGGTTTCGACCATACTGTAAATCATACAAAACAGTTGCAAAATGAGCAAATACATAGTAACGAAAATGTGAAGAAAGTAATTTGAAGAGTAGATTATTTGCCATACCATACTAAGTGTCATTTATTCCGCCTTCTTGACCACGTAGATTTCATAATGAAAGCAACTTTTTTTTGCCAAACTTTTTTTTTTATTCGTACGCTCGCATCAGTTTTGGGGTTCCCAGAGGATGTCATCCATATAATCAAATCAACATGGCCTAACTTACTAAAAGATAACAGGACTACAATGAAAGACAAGACACCAGATGTAGTTAAGAACGTGTAGGTTTTATTTTACTGACATTGTCATCATACTATTATTCAGTGTGATAGCTCCAAGGCCAGGGAGAAGCTCGGTTCTCTCTTTCTCTCTCTCTTTCGTACAACCTCTACACGTACAAGTTATGTATACAAACATCTACGGACAACAAACAAATGTTCAGTCAGAATCGATTGTGAGGTATTGCAAGCAACAGTCAGTGGTTAAAGCTATCGTTGAGTGGCGTACAAGACGGATTATTGAGAGAGACTTGTACGTTAGAAGAGTTAAGTTGAGACGGCACCAGTGGTTAGTGCATAAAGAGTACAGCAGCAGCAAAGAGTCGCTCGCTGCAGAGTAGCAGAAGATTTGGATTGTTAGCTTGTGCTGGATTCGGTAACGAGCCGGGACGGGGGGTGCAGGGTGCGCCGCCTGGCGGGCTTTTTGCAGAGTGCAGCCTCAGGGGCTACTCAAGCAGTGAAATTTCGGTCTTTCCATTTTACACCTTTAAAATGAGGGTCTCAGTACGGAGTTTGTGCCTGAAAATGAATAACGAAGACAAATTGATCATCACGATACGCCGGTGCGAGACCATGCACCCGCCATCCCAGCTCAGAGTCATTTCTCTAGACTATAATTATTCGCTCCTTCCTTTGGGACAATCTGCATTTCTCCGTGTTTAATACATTCACAACATTCCCATAAAATACTGAAGCCGGACTCCAGTAGCGAGTCTCGGAGAAGATAATGCACTGTATAGGTGTGGATTTGGTTTGGTTTTGGTTTCAGAGCTGCTACGACGAAAGGCCCACGGACTTCGCAAACAACCGCAGTAATTTTCCCTCAATCCGCCTCACAACCAAGAGACTGCTCGTGTCGTATTGCTGTGCGCCAATATATATTGCAGTACGTGGCATTGCTTACAAACAAATGCAGGTAAAAGCGGTAACATTGCAGTCTTTTCTTTAAAAAAGAGATTCAATACACAATCATGTGTAAGTATGATTTCCAAGCGGCCACTTGTTACAGACGATCATTGTATTGTATGAAGAGGGGGTCGGAATTTTAAGAATACAGCGACTATAAGACTTTGCGTCTTGTTGCATACATTGCACGGGATCTATCTCCGCCCCTTCGCGTCTGTTCGTTCGTTAGTTAGTCGGTTGTTTGAGAGTCCGTGGGCCGCCCGTTTACAGGCATGTGGTGTCCTGAGGTCAGGAAGAGTTTATATTCACGGTCCGACCCGGCGCCGGCCGCCCCGCCCTCCGCCGCGCGACAGTCCGTCCCCCCGCCCTCCGCCATAAAATCCATCCACGTGTCGGCATCTTCCCGGAACTCGGCCTCCTCTCCGGGAAAATGTACATTATAATTATCGAGGCCGAGCGGCGGGAAGACGCGACAGGCCGGGCGGCGGCGGGGAAACCGGAGGGAGAGCCGACCGGCGGCCCGGGCAAGTTTGGATTCAAGATAAAGTCAGTCACATCTGCTAACTAAAAACTCTAGTAAGTAATAAACGACGCTTAAAGCTTCTCGAGATGCAGTGCAAAAGTGCAAAGAAGCGATGACAACAATAGAAAATGAACGTTTACGTCAATAAAACGGTAAGAAAACATCGTAATGTTACACGTAGTACTATCGAGGAATAAAACAGAAAAAGGCGACTCTCACAGATCCATGCAATGGATGTCGTTCTTCCCTAGACAGACCGATCCGCCGTGCTTCAAACACGCCATTCTCGTTAGAGAGTAATGTGGGAGTTTACATCATTAAGATCTCCCGTTCGGACCTTTTCTATTGCAAATCATAAAATATATACATCGACTTTTTATGATTCTAAATCATAACAACATCTGATAACTTTACGTAACAATTACTGTGATATCTTAATAACAAGATATAATATCAAGGAACATCTACTAAACAACTAAAGTAGTAACGTATTAATGCGCTTAGTCGTCAAGTTACAGGCAATTCGTAAGACCACATGATCAAAAATATGTATATCCAAGACTGTAAGGAAAATAACATTAAACTTTAAATACACTCACAATCTACCGTTACAAGGTGAGTAGTCGTTTTTTGTGGTTATGGTGGCTACAGACTATAGAATTCCGCTCGTGAGTAAATACAATCTAAGCATGTCTAACTGTTATGAATTCCCTTTTCGTCAGGCGTCACGTGAGGTATACGTGGTGGGGAGACAACCGTGGTGTCGTGTTTTAAGTCGACCTCGCAATTAAGATCGGACCACTAAAACTGCACCTCAAGATCCGCAAAATTTCATCCAACTATGCACAGGAATAGAACACGTGTATACGCACCGAGAGCTCGGTCGGTGAACGTCTTTCCGTCACACACAGCCTTATACATTAATACTGCAGTCTCCTACAGTTCTTTGGTTAGCGGGATGCACTGTCAAAATCGAACCTCGTCTTATTTCTTTATCATAAGAAAATCGTGACGCGAGGTCCCTTCTTACATTTTCCATTATTATCACGGTACTAAAATGCCACGGTACATGCAAGTATTTGACACGGGGCACCACAAGACGACGAAATGCCTCACAGAAAAATAGACAAAGTTCACAGCTTCAAACTGCAGTCCCTAGCTCTTTTCAGCAAATCTACTACTGAGGGCGTCGCTCTATTTTGATAGAAGCTCCTTCCCCCGTGATGAATAAATATGGAGTGATAGCACGCGTTGGTACGTCGCAGTCCTTTCTCAAAGAACTGACGGGTAGGTCGGATATACAGTCACGACAACTCGTCCATCCCCAGTTTTGGCTACCTCGTGCATGTGTGGTTGCTTTGCAATCTGACATCTCACCCAAAAAATAACAAATATTCACAACGATCGCTCTCTCTTCGAATTCTCTCTTCTTTTTTTGCGACATTTGGTTGGAATTTTTGTCTGCCAGACTGATCCTGTTACATATCAAAATAGAGCACTTCTGAAACAAAGCCATGATGGGATTTGATTCCTCTAAGATTAGGGAACTAAAAGGGTCGTCATAATTGATCGATGATTTACTTGGTATTTCAGCTTAGCTGTTCTTGTCATATTACATCTAAATCTATATCCTCTATAGTTATGATTTTGTAAATCAGATCTACGATTTCAAGAACACGACCTCTGCACGATAACTGCAGATAGAAACGCACTACAGTACCAGACCTTGTCGCGACAGTGTGTCATTGGACACTATTCATTCTCTCGACAAGAAGTCACTATAGAAACACATATAGACCACTACTACACTGAACATATCTGCTTCCTCTCTTTCTCTCTCTCGTGAGCCAGAATAAAGTCACGGTGTGTGCTTAGCACAACAACGACAACAACAAGACGGACATCCTCACCAATTTTAAAGCTTCAAATATTTGGCTTTTGCTTTTTTTTCTTCCTAGGGCTGCGTTCGTCCTCAGCTTCCTTCCACCCGGGGTCTCTTCTCCTCGGGCGCTCCTCCGTTTTCGGTCTCGCCTAGCGACGGTCCTATGGACGGACCGTCCGTGGTTTTCCTACTGTCCGTCGCTTCCGGGCCGCTCTTCTCGGCTGCTTCCGCCGCGGCGGAGTGGGCTAAAGTAGAAGTACTTGGCTTTGGTGTGCTAGTAGAAGTAGTATTAGAAGTGTTTGCATGTCCGGCGGCCGCCGCTAGGGGGACAGCGGCGGCGGCGCCTTTTGCCTCTCTAGACTTTGCTGTACCATTGTCGATGCTGCTGCTGCGTTCTCTTCCTTCTTTGTCGCTCTTTTCGGGCGGTGCTGTTGGCGGAGTGTATTTGGCCGCGTTGGTCTTGTGGGCGGGGGAGCGCAGGTGGGCGTCCAGCTGCTCCTCCCCCGCGAAGCGCTCGGAGCACGCCGCGCACCGGTACTCGTCCTCGTACACGCGCACCAGGGTCTCCTCGCTCTCGAACGTGCGGCCGAAGTAGCAGAAGGTCCGCTGGTGGCCGATGGCCGACTCCTCGTCGGGGAACACCATCTGACACTTCTTACAGATGAACTTGCAACGATGGCACTTGGTAACGCACGGGTGCCGGCCAGGGCGGACGCCGACCCCGCCTTGCTGTGGCCGTCCTGCTTCTTGGCGTCCTCCTTCTCGGCGGACGAGGACGGCGTCTTGCAGGACAGGTCCTTGGGCGCGGCGTGCGGAGACGTCATGAGTTCCTGCAGGGCCTGTGCGGAGTACTGCTGGAGCATGGGAGAGGTGATGTCGCCCAGCGCCGTGCCCTGCAGGGACACCGGGATGTCGTACGGGAAGAAGCTCTGTGCCGCGGCGGCTCCGGCGCCGTACCATCTGGTGCAGGTACGCGCCCTGCATGCTGGCCAGCTGCTGCAGGTAGTACGGGGGCAGCGTGCCCATGTAGTACGGCAGGAAGGCGGAGCTGCCGGCCGACAGCGAGTCGTGCGCGCCGATGGGGCTCTGCCCGAACCCCGGCAGGGCCAGGCTGGTCTCCGGCGTTTCAACTTTCTCCTCCTTCACCTTCACCTCCTTCTCCTTGCTTTGGTTTTCGGCGGCGGCGGCGGCGCTGGGGCTGCTGAGTTTGGGCGAGGCTGTCTCGCTCGCGCCGGACTGCTGTCCCAGCCCCATGAACGCCATGGGGCTGAGCGGGTGCAGCGTGTGGAAGGCGGAGCCCGGCATCTGCATCATGGGCGAGGCTCCCATCATGGCGGCCTGCTGGTGCACGGCCAGCGCCTCGTTAGCCTGGCGCAGCCGCTCGAGGCCCTGCTGCTGGAACATGCGCTGCATGGCCGTGGGGTCCACGTACTCCTTCTCCTTGGCCAGCTGCTCCGAGAAGTAGTTCTTGAGCTTGGAGATGTGTTGCTGGGTGAAGATGTGGTCGCGGACCGAGAGCTTGGCGGAGTACTTCACCCCACAGAGGCTGCACTCCTCCTTGGGCTTGTCGAACTGCCCGGGGGGGTAGTGCTTCCCCAGGGCCAGCTTTGACTTCTTGTCCTTGGCGCGGGCGTTCTGGAACCAGACCTGCACCACGCGTTTGGGCAGGCCGATCTCATTGCCCAGGATCTCACACTCCTGCATGGTGGGCGTCTTGTACTCGGTGAAGGCGGACTTGAGCATCTTCAGCTGCAGGTTGGACATCTGCGTGCGGTAGCGCTTGCCCGGCAGGTGCTTGTTGCTAGGCGACTGGGGGTCGCAGGTCGAGGACTCCTCGCTGCGCCCGGCGCTGCCCGCGTCGGAGTGCATGTCCTCGTCGAGCGTGTAGCTGAAGTTGTGCGAGCCATCTTCGTCCGAGTTGATGCTCTCCGCCACGTCGTGTTGGGACATGCCCTCTATGGAAGGCGAGATCTGCTCCTTAGTAATAGAGCCGAGCGTGTCATCCCCCATACTGCTGCAGGATGCGGTGGACTCGTTCAGGAGACTCGGCAGCTCTTCCTTAATCTTATTTAGCGGCTCTTCTGATTGGGCGTGGTTGCCCAGCAACGAGCTTTCCCCGTTCTGCTCCTGAGCCGAGGTGGACGGCTGCTCGCTTTTGTTGTCTTCTTCCTTCTCTTGTTTTATAGCCGCGAACCGAGCGAGCATCTTCTCAGCCGAGGGGTAGCTGTTGTCCCGCGGGTCGGGCTGGTTGTCGGGCTTCTTGCTCTGGTGGTGCTCGGACGGGCGGTGCGTGTCGTCGGGGTGATGCGACATGGCGGCCGCCTTGGCGAGCTCGGCGTCGGTGACGGTCTCGGAGCTCTGGATGATGGCCTCGACGGACTTGTTACTGCTGATGAGCTCGACCCAGTGGCGGGACTTGATGTGGGCGTCGAGGGCCGTCTTGGCCTTGAACATGGCCCGGCAGAACGGACAGCGCTTGTGGGTGAGGGAGGGCCCGGTGACCCGGAACTGGCCTTTACGTTCGCGGGCCCGCGTGTTCTGGAACCAGACCTGCACCACGCGCTTCTTCAGCCCCACCTCCCGGGCGATCAGGTCCAGCATCTTCCTGGTCGGGTTGCAGTCGATCTGGTACTTCTGGTACAGTATCTCCAGCTGCTCTGGCGTGATGGTGGTGCGCAGACGCTTGTTGCCCTCGCGGGGAGAGTCCTGGTCGGGGGAGCTCAGGGACAGCTGGCCGTCCTGGGACAACCCCTTCCCGTCCTCCATCTCTGAGTGTTTGCGTTTTGAGGAGGACGTCGTCTCGCCGAGGGACTGCGGTAGGAGCGGGCTTGCGCCGGCGGCCGCCATCATCTGGTGTGCTGCGAGCTGGTCGAGCGCGTACGGCATGTACATCATGTAGGGGCTATCCATGAGTGGGGAGGGGAAGAACGGCGCGTACGGAGACAGGAAGTGGACCTTCTGGTGCTCCCGCCACAGGTCGAACGTTGGGAAGGCCAGGTTGCACTTGTCGCACTGGTAGTGCATGAGGTGTTGTGAAGGGGGCGGCGGCGGTGGCATGGCGGCTGGGAATTTGATCTCCTTCTTGTCGGACTTTGCATCCTTCCCCTCCAGCCGTTCCTTCATGTCGGTCGGCGTCTTGCTGTCGGTGCTGCTGGTGCTCTCTGCGCCGCTGCTGCTCTCCCCGGCGTAGCACTCCTGCTTCTGGTGCTTCATCAGGTCAAAGAAGCGGGGAAAGACGGACTGGCACTTCTTGCACTGGTAGTTCAGGCCGGGCGTGCGCTGGTAGCGGCTCTCGTCGACGCTGTCGGTCGTGCGCGGGCTGGTCGGCTGGTTCTCGAAGCTCTTCCTCGCCTTTTGGCGGGCGTTCTGGAACCAGACCACGATGACGCGCGGGCTCAGGTTCAGGATCTTCGAGAGGTGTTCCAGATCGTCGTCTTTCGGGTAGGCGTTCTGCTCGAAGAACTCCTGCAGGACTTTGATCTGGTAGTCGGTGAAGCGGGTACGTCCCGCGCGCCGAGCCGTGCGTTCCGCCTCCGCCTTACGCTGCTCCTCCTGGATCTGCGCCTGCGTTGATGTGGTGGTCACCGTGGCAACGGGCGTGTTTACTACGGGCGGCGTCATGGCAACCGCCTTCTCTGCAGATGAGGGCGTTGTCGCGGGCGACGACTTCACCGTGGTCAGGTTCTTGGCGTCTTCGGGAAGCGGCGTGGATGGCGGGTTGTTGAAGTTGTAAGGAGAGTCCTTGTTGCGCTGGCGCTCCTTGAACAGCGTGTTGCGGAACCAGTGCTTGATGACCTTGGTGGGCAGGCCGGACTTCTCGGACATCTCCAGGATCTGGTCCTCGCTGGGCGAGTTGTTGATGTCGAAGTGAGCCCGCAGGATCTTCAGCTGCTCGTCCGTGATGCGGGTCCGAGGACGCTTCCCCTAGAAAGGACACAAGGAAACAACGGTAAAAATCAGATTTCATGGATGTTGTTGAAGAGGTTCATCAGTCACGTAGGGTTAACAGTTACATGTAGTAGAAACATGTACCTCCAAATTTTCAATGTCTACTGTACATCTATACCTATCTGTACATGATGTACATGTTTCTTTCAAAGCAAGTCACTGATTGACAAAATTTCTACTAAACAGATTTCTTGAGAGATGCTAGAGAAAGCTTTGAATACATGTATATCTTTACATGCATTAAGTCCCACAATGCAAAAAATAGGTAATTAATAAATAAAAGACTGCTTTGTTATTATATTTGTTTTTCTGACCCTGACCTCTTCCCTCATGACCTCAAATGAAAAGTGGCCAGCAGGTCATTTTGAGTACATTGTATTGCAAAAATGAACAAAAGCTAAAACAAACAATTAAGTACATAATACAAAAGAAATCAATTAACTGGATAAAAAATTCTTTAGGTGTCAAGACAGTTTTTGAGAGCAGCCAAAACTCGAGCGCGTTGAAGATCCCACTGCATGTATCAAAAACAGTACAGGTCCTTCCCGGTGTGAGTGGTTCAACCCTTATACAGTCTGGTCTTACAAAACTGGTGTGTCACGCCTGAAGGCAATTTGCCAGATATACAATTTGAAAAGATATCGCCAAAAAAATCTGTCCCCCTCAGGGCTGGAAATACCACCTGCATTTGCAGGTAATAATTGGAACGGAGCAGGTATTTCTGATGTCTATCTGAACCGAACCTGCACTGGTCTATGTATTGGGTTTTATATACATGTAGGTATATGTGGATTGCTATTTTCTGGATTGACTGTTACCACCTATATGGAGTATAAAAGAAAAGAAGCAATGGCAATGGTTTATGAACAGTTTTTCACACTTCCTAAATTCTGTCAAAACCCCTGGGCGGGATGCCCTATATGGGGTTTGGCCCAATATGAAATAGAAATATAGACAGTTGCGTACCTGGAAGTGTATTTTCTGGTGCTCTCTCCACATGTCCAGGGACGGGAACATCAGGCTGCACTTGTCACACTGGTACAGCTGAGGTGGGGCCTCCAGCACCTGGAACACAGACATGATGATTGGCATTACAGGTGAGACAGGTGAGTTAGGTGGGGCAACAGGTGAGAGAACAGGTGGTTCAGGTGGGATGAACATCACCACACTTTCCGTTAGAGCTTCGGCCAGCATTACGACTTTCTTTTGCCACGAAGGCATTTGAGATCCCCAGACAAAATTTCAGTTTAAGGCTGTGTCTCTGAGACACCTGACAATGAAAGGCTAGGTATGGGGTTTGCCAGTGCACTGTGATTAGAAAATGACCATGAACAACCTGAAAACTCGATGTAAGAAATATTGGTGGCATTGGTGGAATGTCGAATCCCTTTCCTGGAATTTTTCAACTATACAAGCTTGTCTTCTTCTTTTGAAAGAAATCCTGCAGGCCTAAAACCCCATTCAGAGCCTAAATAAAAGAAAAAGCTTTCCAGGCGATTGACTGAACAGCCAACAGGTTTCCCGCTAATATTACAGGTATTTATTTCTAATACCTGCATTATTAATGACCTAATCCCCACCTTTCATTGTGCACAGACAGAAGACTGTCCTTTTACAAAGTGACCCTCCCTCAGGTTATTTCTGATGCACTGAAATTTTTCTTCATTTCAACATTCCAACAATTCCTACATCAATACCAATGACAAAGGGTTCATTTTGACATGTGCAGCCCACTTTTTAATTAATAAAACTTCTTTGCAAACCACATGTTCTTTTGGGGGGTTGACAACTGCATGAAGCAATATTATCACACCATAAAATGCTTGATTGCAATTTGGTAAATGGCAGCTCTCATCAAGGACTGATAGTCATCAATAGAGGGTCAAGGTTTCCACGGGCCTTCCATTGAGGTGACAAGCCATGCGAAACTTTGACGGATGTGTCCTGACTGTGTCTGGAACAGGTGCATGTAAAACGGACACACCCGGTACCCATATCATTGTCCCTTCTTTTCCTTCCTTCTGAGTGCTTTCCTTCCCCAAGAGTGCATCTATTTTTATTGCCCTGCTCGATGAATTGCACAATTAAACATCATGAATGGTGAGCAGACATCAAAGTGAAACATAAAATGAGAGATTTCACACCTCTGTGACATTTGATAGGTTTGGTGAATTTCTTGTTTTATTCAGTATAATTGTGAATTTCTTGCTGATTGTGTACGCATTCACTTTACTACATGTGACTGTCAAATTGACTCAATCGCCAAATAAAAGTACCAATAGGCCACACCAATTTAATTTGTTGGTTCACGGATTCGCCTGCTTCATTTTTTCTGATTTGAGAAAAAAAATTTCAGACTCTGAATCAAAATGCTCAACAGTTGAAGAAAGTCCCTTCTTCTTCAGAGTTGTTACAGTTTTTCCATCGATCGGTACAGTGGTTTGATTAAAAGTTTGAAACTCATTGTTTGAATTACAAACCAGCCTGGTATGTTGACTTCATGGTTCCTATCATTCTACTTATTTGGGGCTATCATAGGATGCCTAGGCCTGTTTTATTTAAAAGAGATTTAACAAACTGAGTCAACAGGAACAGAAACGTTGATCTCACCTGCGAGGGAATGGGCTCCAGAGGCAGCAGCGGGGGGTCTGTGCTGAGCGTGGGTACGAGCGGAGTGACAGGGCCGGGCGGGGGCGGCGCAGGGACCGGTGTGTGGGGCGGCGGGGCGGGCGGCTCCTCCGGCTTCTCCTGCTGGTGCTTCTTGTTGTACTCGTCGCGGTAGTCCTTAGCCAGCTTCTCCACGTGGGACAGTGGCAGCTGCAGCTTGTGGATCTGCTCCTCGTGGGTCTGATGGAAACAGAAAAAATAAAACTTAAGTTTACAGCAACTTATGCTAATTGTTACATCAGTGAAGGTTAGACATCCAGGTAATGTGATACTCCAAAAACAGTTACTTAAGCAACTGAATATGATTTTGACTATCTTCGGAAGGTAGTGGATGCTACCTGAAACGTCTGACCGTTTAAAAAATCTACGATTTTGTATCTGCCCATATAGCAAAGAATAATAATTTAGAAAGTAATCAACATGTTCATAACCTTTATGAGAAAATGAGACTTGGCCAAATATTGCTTGAGCAAAATAAAAAGAAATATTTGAAAAATTTGGGAAGTCATCTCAAACATTGTCAAAAGTATGGAGCCTTGGACAAACCTGTATAATGTCCTTGGACAAACCAAAAAGTCTAAAAATAGAACAAGAGAACATGCTTTCCACTGTTCCATCTTTTTTGGCCAAGACTATTTTTGAGCTATTCCAGTTATTGTTAAGAGAAGTTTATTCACTTGATGGTAATCATTTTGGCACGTCTGACAATTATTTTCCCTTTCTCTGCACAGCAGAAAATTTATGTTTCTCTACGCTTGGCCGGTTCCACGTGGCAAAAACCGTCTGAGAGAACGTCCACACCCGAGTTCATCACCGGTGAAGGACGTTTTGTTTTCCTGAATGTCTGAAAAGGACTATTACGTTCGCTCTGGCAGGTAACAAAGGCACAAGATTCGTTGCTGACACAGTGAAAGAAAAGGGGATTACTGTGACACAATGTGAAATCATGGGAGCGTGTCAAAAACACATTTCAATATGAGATGCTTTCATCAACTAAATTGGCCGATTGGCATTATGTTAGTTTGAGTGATATGACGAGGATGCTAATGTTGAGTGGTCTTAAGTAGCCTTACTGTACTTAAATGCTGTACTTAAATGCCAAAAAATATATCTTGTTGTTTGTCTTTCTTGAAGTGTTATGAACAATTTTAGAACAATACAACACTCCCGTCATGTGTGCATAGTGAAAGATGAACACTGGCTAGAATGCTGGTGGTAACACCCTGCAATTCCAAGAAAATTGTGGTATCATAATATATCATAAACGTGTGTCCTTAACAGGCTTGCTGTCACTGACCTTTAAGAGTAAAGATGGAGGATAACTTCTTTTTGTAGGTCTTTCACCTCTATGCCCCAAGACTAGATCTCTAATAACCCACAGAACTACTTCTGCCTTGAATCATTCTGTCACCTAAGGAATTGTCTACTGATGACCTTGAGGATTAAGATGGAGGCTAACTTCTTTTTCCAGGTCTTTCACCTCTATGCTCTGAGATTTGATCACTGAACTACTTATGCCACCATCTTTTTATCCAGTTGACTCGAATCATTCTGTGACCTAAGGAACTGTCCACGACCTTGAGAATAAAAATGGAGGATAACTTCTTTTCTAGGTCGTTCAGTCCCTGAGATTTGATCATTTAACCCACAGAACTACTTATGCCACCATCTCTTATCCAGTTGTCTCAAACCATTCTGTGACCTAAGGAACTGTCGACTGACCTTGAGAACAAAGATGGAGGATAACTAATTTTTCTTGGTCATTCATTTCTATGCCCTTAGACTGATCACTTTTAATCCACTAAACTACCTTTTACACCATCTTTTATCCAGTTCTCTGACCAAACAAAAAAAAATGACCTTGACAGATGTGCGACTGACCTTGAGAATGAAGATGGAGGAGAACTTCTTGTTGTAAGAATTTCGAGTTTCTATTCCCTGAGATTTGATGACTTAAACCACTGAACTACTTTCATGTACACCACCATCTTTTATCTAGTTGTCTTGGATCATTCTCTGGAAAAAAAACAAATAAAAATGTCCTTGACTGACCTTGAGAATAAAGATGGAGGAGAACTTCTTCTTGCAGGTCTGGCAGGAGAAGCGGTCGACCTTCTTGTCGGCCTCCGTCTCCTTGTTGAGCACGTTCTGCATCCCGCGCCGGTTCTCGTTGAATGCCATCACCATCTCCAGCCCGAGGTCACTCAGGATCTGCCGCTGGCTGTTTAGAATCCGACCACTGGAACGAAAACAGTTACTACGTCAAATGTGATGGAAAACAGTTGTATGTATATGTCAGTTAATTCATTTGTATCAACTAGTTTGTATATTTACATGTAGTTGTAGTAGATCTTACGAAAGTCGCTTAACTTTTTGTTGTATCACTGAAGAGTGTAGTATAAACTCACAGTGAAAGTTTGTTATTGCAAGTAAAACTGGAGCTGTGCACGTATTTCACATCTAAGTCTACCTGCACTAGCCCTTGACAAGAACAGCACTTTATTTGTTGTTGTTTACACCTCTTCCTGTTTACCTGTTGTTTACATGTTTACCTGTTGTTGTTTACACATACAAAAGTTGTTTACCTGGAGGAGAACGGAGGCTGGGGCGTCAGGGCGGCCGAGGCGGAAGCGGCGCTGGCCGAGGCCGCGGCGCTCACCTCCGGCAGGTAGCAGTACATCTGCTGGTGTTGCACTAGCGCCTCCTAGGGGGCACAAACAGAACAACAGGTTTACATAATTATATACATGACACATACATGTACATGAAACTCCCTGTTGGAAGGAAGACACTTTAAGATCAATTTGTGTATCTTTTGGCACCCAAAATCAGCTATGCTTAAAGTTTAAGGCAAATTCAAAGTACAAAATAACTTCAAATTCTACATAATAAAAGGTAATTGTCTAAAACTACAGGTATGTCTAAAACTATGTCTGTAGGGTTTGACATCTGTTTTGTAAACCATGGAAGACGTAATGTTCCACCTGTTGCAAAATTTGTGGTTTTGTGTAGTTAAAAGAAGAATAGTTTTTTCTTTGTCTGTTGTAAGTTTACAGACAAGGGAGGAGTGTGAACATTTCAGTGCAGGAGAAACTTTTTTTTACCAATCACGCATATCCTGGTGGCCCAAAATCACTTCTCCAATAGCCTTCACACGGGTGGCTTCTGACACATACACGTAGCTCATACACATACACGTCAGATTCGAGGAAGACACTAATTGGTCTGAGGAAAATACCAACAGGTCTCACAAACTAGATGCAATTCCACCGAAAGTTGCTAGATGTCGCAACTGACCCTTGTTATACCCAAGAACACAATAAAACGATATCATTGATAGTGATAAACTGGAATATCAGTACGAAAACAGAGTCCAAGGAAGAGACTGTATATGTACATTAATGCACACAGTTTCGGGGAATGAAAACAGTCTTATACAAGTTTTCCTCCCAGATTGAACTTTTTCATTCCCACATTAAAATATCCAAAAACCAACAACATACATTAGTGTGGTTCTATTGATAAAGAAACATCATGCTTCACAGTGTTACAAAGCGACAAAAGTGACAAAAGCCCCACCTGTGAGACGAACATGGAATTGCACCTCTGGCAGGTGTAGACGGAGGGCATGTTGAGCGGCATCATGGGATAGTTGCCGAAGAGGCTGTGCACCTGATGCAGCTGCGCCTGGGCTGCCACCTGTTCCGCCAGCGCCTGCTGCGGGGCGAATACATTAACTTTTACTAACAATCATGACTCGGAACATGCATATTGCTAATAAAATTGGAGCTGTGTTTACATGTTGGAAAGGTCCTACACTTGTTGTTTACCTGTTGTTGTTTAAACATAGGAAAGTTGTTTACTTGCTGTTGTTTACATGTAGGAAAGTAGTTTACCCATTATTGTTTACCTGTTTACATATAGGAAAATTGTTTACCTGTTGTTTACATGTGGGGAAATTGTTTACCTGTTGTTGTTTACATATAGGAAAATTGTTTACCTGTTGTTGTTTACATATAGGAAAATTGTTTACTTGTTGTTTACATATAGGAAAATTGTTTACCTGTTGTTGTTTACAAGTTGTTTATATGTGGGAAAGTTGTTTACCCATTGTTGTTTACCTGTTATTGTTTACATATAGGAAATGTGTTTACCTGTTGTTGACATGTAAATAAGTTGTTTACCTGTTGTTGTTGCTGGAGGATGTCGGCAATACGCTGAGCTTGTTGCTGCTGCTGCTGCTGCTCTTGTTTCTCCTTCAGCTTGTCGGCCAGTTTCTGCTCGCTGGTGCTGGGCTCTGCGCTGGGGGGCTGGGGGGAGCCCTGCGTGGGGGTGGGGTGGTCCCCCCGCCCTTCCCGGAGCCGGCCATGGCCTCCAGGCGAGCCGCCCGCGTCTGGTGCAGCACCGAGCGCATGTGGATGTCCAGCGTCGACCCTTGGCTATACGCAACCTGGGGGAGGGAACAAACAAAAACCTTAATAAGACACTGTGATTTTCCAAAATTAATGTCTTCACACAGTTAAAGGTACTAAAAAAGCTTATTTTCCATGTGATGATGACAATGACGATTTTCCATAAGTCACAGCTGTAAGCTGGGGAAGGGGACAAATCAAAATCAAAATAAGACACAACGATTGTCCAAAATAAATGTTTAACCTACTGGAAAAAGCTTATTTCTGAAAGTCATAGCTATCATGATTATTATAAGCAACCTGATGGGGGTGAGAAACAAAAATCAAAATACCAGTAAGATATGAAGATTGTCTAAAATGAATGTCTCCACACAGTTTAACCTACTGAAAAAGCTTATTTTCCGTAAGTCATAGCTATAAGCAATGAATATCAGCCAAGCTGCCTAAGTCAGTGTAATGTACTGTTTCATTTGACATAAATAAAAATAAGTAACCTGGGGAGGGGACAAGAAAAAAAAACTCCACAAAGTGAAACCTACTGAAAAATGAAAAAATAAAATTTTCCATAAGTCATAGCTGTAAGCAACCTGGATGAGGTATAAAAAACATACTAACATGTATAATAATGAAGACACAGCTTAGCGTTTTCATACAGTCTAACCTTCTCCCTGCTGCCTAACCAAGTACCCAATACATTAGGTTACTAAGCATTCACCTACCAAAGAAGTATTTTCTACTTGTGACTTGCCTGAACAGTTTCTCAAGGAATAGGACTAACACTGAAAGAAGAGAGGCTTGCAGTGGAAGAGATGAGAAAACAACAATGCAACTCAGGTCTGAAAAATAGCCTGAATGCGAACTCTCAACCACTTGGGCCCGAAATAGGTCCAGAAAAATAATGAACACGTTTTTCATCTTATCAAACATCCTCAAAACATCTTCCCATCAAGATATTTCCATTATATAAGTCTGTAACAATCAGATTTAACAAAATTAGCAGGATTTTTGCCCGCGCTTTGTCCCCTAGATACAGGAAGTTAGTGTTATTTTTTTCCCTTTCCCCTTGCTCCGAGCGGTATGAATAAAACTGCTCCCTAATCAGTACTAATCAACTCGCCTTTGGAGCTCGCCACAAAGGAAAAAGTCGTTTGTTAATGAGATGATGCTTCAAAGCAGATGCTAACGAACCTTGCTAATCAGACTTCCTGATTACCGGCCTTTGAAACTTGCCAAATGACAGGATCAGAGAGAGGGAAATTCGAGGACGCTGCTTTCAATTAAAATCATTATAATCCCGCAGGATACATTTTTGCCGTGGAAAAACCGACATTCGCGTGGCGAGAGAGCACGCAAGGAGTATCTCTTCTGCAGATCAATCAGACGCCCAAACACATGCCTACATGTAAATGAGACAGCAGGGGAGTCTAGTCTCATGTTTAGTGTTGCCCCACATTTTTGTGCAGCAGAAAATATTTCATCAGTCGTAGACACAAGAGATGATATTGCACAGAGATGATTTCACATACCAGTAATATTTTGGAGAATAGTGGAGACAAATCTCTCTCCAATATGGAGAAGAGAGGAACTGGTTTGTCAAAGAAAAATGTTTCCAACGATTGAAAAAAACAGAGAAGAATTCCTACATGAACATTGATAAAAACAAAGAAAAATTTCTACTTGAACATTGGAAAAAAACAGAGAAGAATTCCTACTTGAACACTGAGTCATAGCTCCAAAAACTCACCAGACTGAAGGATGCCAACTTGAAATGTTTCATCCACAGACAATTTTACTGAACCTTGACACAACAATGCAATTCCTCAAAAGCCTTTCTTAGGAGAAGGTACATGGCAGAAAAGAACTGCACAGTTTACTCTGTTTACTCTTACTAGAACACTCTCTCCTGCAACTTGCTACATAATGTAACCCAGCAACACAGGGCATCTGCTACTGAACAGCACTTCTGTGAAACATAAAAAATTGGTGACCAGCCTCTTCATCTCTGTCCTGCCACTTGCTACATAATGAAAATCCAACACCACAGTTAGACATAAAAAGCCTCCTTACGTTACAGATGTTACATTTGAAGGGTTTCTTGTCTCCGTTGTTCTGATCGGCGCCCCCTGTCTCCTGCATGGTGCGCTTCAGCTTGTGCAGGTGTGAGACAGAGTTGTAGTGAACCAGGAGGATGTTCTTCTGCGTGAAAGACTCCTGCAAAAAAAACAATGCAGGGTTGGAAGTTACCTGTATCGGTATAGCTAGTTTAACTGCCCTTTGGCACACCAGCTTCGCACGTGGCAAAGTGGCAGCTTGCTATGTTACACCGAACGATTTGTTACACTCAATCTTTGTACATTCAATTGCAGGAGTTGTTTAAAGCTTTCTAGTGATGCCCCAACTGTGCTTGGTGGAAACGAGTTCCAATCTACTACAGTTCTTGGAAAATACTAGAAAATACCGCATGCAGTTCTTGGTTGATAACTCTGATATTTGAAGGCATGACTTGTTCTTTTCTGGGCTGGTATCAGATACTTAGTGGTTGGTACGTCCACCAGTTTATTAGTCATTTTGTACATCATGCATAGTCATAGCCATCTCAGGCCTTACCTTGCACACATCACACTTGTAGGGGCGGTTGGGGTCCAGGTACTTGTCCATGGGGTACATTGGCCCTCCGCTCTTCCTGTGCTCTGTGGACTTGTAGTGCGCAGCCAGCTCGCCCTGAGAGGCGCAGGTCACGTGGCAGTGGTCGCAGGTGAGCGGCTTGCTCGGGTCCAGGCCGGCCGTGTCGTCTTCCGACGTCGTGCTCTTGCTGTCGGCGCCGTCCTTGGAGAGGAGACCGAAGTCGACCTCCGCGCGCCCCGGCTTCTTGTCGCCCAGCTCCGAGTCTTGAGACTCCTCGTCCTGCTTCGTCAGCAGGGAGCTGGGAGAGGTGGCCGTCTCCGAGGACAGGTGGAACGCACCTGTGCAACAGAAAAAGAAATACATTATATCTCTTTCTAATATAGTAAATCCTTTATAGTGAACACCTCTACATAAGGGCCACCTGCCCATTGATATACAGTCAAACTTGTACAAGAGACCACCTCTACAGAAAGACAACCTGGCCATTGTGACCACATTTTGATGTACCAGACAAAGAAACATAATATATTGTTATTAGATCTTTCCAATATAAATGAATACTTTAAAAGTGACCACCCCTGTATAAGGAGCACCTGGCCATTGATACACAAAACTGTACAAGTGACCACCTCTACCTAGGGACCACCTGGCCATTGAGCCATCGATACACTTGACTGTGTATCGATGGCTAAATGGCCAGGTGGTTTGACTACCTGCACTAGTGACCACCTCTGCATCAGGGCCACCTGGCCATTGATATAGTCAAACCTGACAACCTGGCCATTGTGACCACATTTTAGCGGTACCCGTATCTTAGATCATTTTTGCTATAAAATAAGATAAAAAACAACATACCTTGGGCATCTCCTCCCAGAGGCAGGAGGGCGTCTCCGAACATGTTCCAGTAAGACATGTCACCGTTTGCCCGAGCACCGATCTGCTTAGCGGCCTCAGAGTCAAAGTGGCTGGTCTCCATGTGCTAGTGCAGGGAGGAGATGGTTTGTTTGTTTGTTTGTTTATTTAAGGAGCGTCCAATTAGTGACAATACAACCACTACTCTTCCTGGAGTCCTCTTACGTACATTTTAAAACATTTAGCATCAATTAATAATATCAATTTATAACAACAATAATATTACCTCCCTCAAAACCAAAATCCGGACCTCACTTGGAAAGCCATACACAGTGAATTCTGATGCTGACTTCCCAATGTAAATAGTTTTTTAACAGTGATCCTTAGTTTAAGCCTTTGTGTATTTATGTATAGATAATCCAGTAGATGTAATGAGTTGGCGACTTAATGTCCTGTCCTTATCTTATGTTGCTTGTTGTCCTTGTCTCCAGGCTTAGCCCTTTAAAATAGTCTTGTAACTAGTTGGGCAACCCTGGCTGTCTTTTGTACAACTGAAACAACAAAATGAAATGAACAATCTTACCTTGTGCAGGGATGAGATGGTGCGAAAGCTGCGGTCGCACACCGAGCACTTGGTGGCCGCCCGGATCATGTGGTACTGCGAGTGGGTCTGCAGCTTCTCCATGGTCTTGAAGGCCAGCGAGCACTGGTTACACCGGTACTTGTACACATGACGCTCCGACACTGGCACCTGGAGAGAAGAAAGCGCAATCAATCAACGGGTTGTCCAAAACCTAAGCAAGAGACATCCAGATTGAACATGCAGATCTGGAGCAGTGACTACCATCAGACACACGTACTGCCCCAACTCTTTTTAGAGACATTTGTAAGAAGTAGAATGACCAAAATCAACAGTATGTCAATGTATCACAGCAGTTAATTGCTAGAGTATTCTTTCCTATTACTAGATGAGTTCAGCAAAGTATGTGGTTACAAGACACAATATTTAAGACATTTGAAAATAAACACTATAGTATGAAAGGAAAGCACCTCAAGCACATATTGGAAAGAAAGAGTAACCGTCCATCCCAGTGTGAGAGGATCAAATCTTTGAGTACTTTAAGAATGAACAAAGGCCGAAACAGACCTGTTGCCGCTTGGCGTGGATCTCCCTGAAGTGGGACTGGACCGCGGCCGAGGACTTGAAGTACTGGTTACAGCCCTTCTTCCAGCAGAGGAAGCTCTGCCCGTCTTCAGACGTCTCGGGCGCATGTCCCGCCTCCTTCTGGTGCTGACACAGGTTCTCGAAGCTGGTGAAGACCTGCTGGCACCTGTGACATTGGAGAAGGTCGGCGTCGTTGCTGTCATCCGAGTCCTTCCCCTTGTCAGCTGCAGCCTGTATGGAGGTAACGTCAAGGTTACTATAATGAAGACCTTTATTGTACATTTTTGCCCCACTGGGCTAAGCACAGGTCACAAGATTACAATCATAATGTTTATACATATATGTACAAATACATATACATAATATATATATAACTGTTGTATGTATACATTGAAGATAGAAATACTGTTCTTATTCCAATCTGCACAATAAAAAAATTCTATTATTTATCAAGACTAGTTGTAGTCTCAGTTCCTTTTCAAAAGAGTCCAAAATTATTTTGTTGCACTTAAAATTGTATCTCACTTTAAGTATGTAGACCACGAAGCTTCATAGTAAAGCTAATTATGGTCACTTTCTGACTCGAATGTTTATGAAATAGGACTTACTTTTATAGGATCACTTTTGGACTTTTATATGTATGTAATGAATGGACTTGTCACTTTGTTATATTCAACACAACAATGAAGATCTAAAACAAACAAACCATCTAACAATCAAAACATCGCCTACCAGATGCCTTTGACCCAGTGTTGACGTCACACTTCAAAGAAGCCACGTGACAAGCCTCACTGGGTCAGTCTACTGAGGAAGACCAGAGTGACTGGTCAAATGCTCTAGGTGAGAGAATTTTATTGTGTTGGATCTAAAGTTTAACTTAAAACAAATAAACAAACAAACAAACCGTGTCGTCCCGTTCGCCCTCCTTCCCTGACGACTTGCCCTCCCCGCGGTTGGCCTCCTCGAGCGCGGACATGACTGCCCGGTCCATGGCCTGGCGCCCGTTGGTCGGGGGCGGCGCGTCGCCGGATGAACTGGTGGCCGGGTAGGACGGCATGGGGATGATGAGGTCTGCCTCGCTGACGCTCATGAGCAGGCGCTGGAGGCAGTCGGGCGTGACGTTGTGTAGCCGAGTCAGGTGCAGCTCCAGGTGGTACTTGTCGTTACAGGCGTCCTGGCACAGCGGGCACCGCACCAACGGCTGGACACTGCGGGGGACAAACAAGGGGAAAACTCGCTTTTTATGAGAGAAAATATACTCCTCAAGAGTAGGACCTGTATCCTCTGTACTGACTTAAGCATTAAGTGGTCCTGGCACAGTGCACCAACGGCTGGACACTGAGGGAGAGGAACAAGAAAGACGTGTTAAGGAGAAAACATGTTCCTTAAGGTAGCAAATGCAGTCCGGATGTGACGTTGTGTAGCCAAGTCAGGTGCAGCTCCAGGTGGTACTTGTCGTTGCAGGCGTCCTGGCACAGCGGGCACCGCACCAACGGCTGGACACTAGGAGGGGGGAAAATGGAACACACGCTCCGTAAGATAAACTTTACAGCAAAACCTGTGTTGTTCGTACTTGTCGTTACAGGCGTCCTGGCACAGCAGGCACCGCACAAGCGGCTGGACACTGAAGACAGGAAAATTTCCTCTTTAACATAAAAAGATTTAAGGCTGGACACTGAGGGGAACTAAGAGAAAGTGTGCTCCTCAAAATAGAAAATGTTCTCCTTAAGATAGAACACATGCTGCTTAAAATCATTATTGCAAGATTCACACAACTTCAACACTTAAACTTTGGACTTCTTGACCCTGGTCAGTATCTTTGAACATTTGAACTTGATGTCGGGGCACCTGATGTTTGGGTACCTGTGCTGAGAGGTGATGTGCATCAATCCATTCTTTCATTCCCTAACCTTGACTACAAGGACCTGACCTTATATCTGCAATGACTAACAAACAGTACTGAAAACAGAACTTCTCCTGCTACACCTCGTGACAAGGATGACCAAAGAAGAAGCATTTGTGTACCTGTGCTGTGAGATGATGTGCATCTTCATGTGAGCCTGGTCGGCAGTGGTGTAGTTACAGTAGGGGCAGGGGTTTAGCAGTGCATGAGGAGTGAGTGAGTGCATGAGTGAGTGCATGAGTGAGTGAGTGAATGAATGAGTGATGTTTTCTTACCTGTGCTGTGAGATGATGTGCATCTTCATGTGTGCCTGGTCGGCTGTGGTGTAGTTACAGTAGGGACAGGGGTACAGCAGCTGCTGCCCTTGGCCTGGGGACGGGGAGGGCAGGGTGAACGCTGTTCCCTGCACATCCGGCGTCGACGCCTTCAGCAGGTCTCCTGTGGTCAACAACAAGAGAAAACAGTCGGTTAGTCCAATACACGTTCATGTACATTTGTACACTGTACTGTCATGTAATATCAGGTGGTCGAAAACAATACAAAAACAGTTACTGTAGTTAGTCGGATACACATCATTCATTTGTACATTGTACCCTCAGATGGGCAGAAACATGAGAAAACAGATAGTTGATCGGATCACGTACATGTGTGTTTTGTATATGCATATTAAATTTTTGTACTGAACACTATTCTCTCAGGTGGTCGGGTACAAGACAAAACAGTTGGTTCATTGGATACACGCATACATTTGTACATCGAGAAGTGGCTTAGGAAGATTATCACACTGAATGTGGATGGCTAAAACCCACAAGGCTAACCAGTGAAAAGACAAGGGAGAACTTCCCCTACCTCAACACAGGGTGTACAATGTACAATGGGGGTATATGTCATATACCCACAGGATTGAGGCAAATGGCAGGCTGCCATCAAGCCTCAGCATCAGTGTGCAAACACATCTAACCCTCGGGAGACAGGGAACAACTGATAGTATAGTGAGTGAGTGTACAACAGTGATTGTCGCTGGGAATTCGTCCAAGTGATAGAAACCTGGGATCACCTGGCTCAAAATACCCTGCATATGCATACTTGCTGAATTGTGGGTGGTGTACATGTCATGTAGGTAGACTTTGTCAAAGCACACAGAAAATTCTTCCTTGTAATCGTAACTCTCCAAGACTTCCTGACATCACAGTTTGTACACAGGAGTGTTTGCAAATGACGCGTGACAAAGTCGTTAACAAAATCTGAGCAGAGAGCTCGCGAGCAAATATCAAGCAGTCATCCCGGATCACTTTTTCTTCAAAGCCAAGATCTTGAAACCCGGTAATTGGCTAACCGTAATAAAGTTTGGACGTAACAGGAGGGTCTATGACGGCAAAGAGAGTGGGCGTCGGGACATCTTGAAAAGAGTGATTACGCCCACAAATGGGATCACACACAACCTGATTACGGACCTCCTCTCCGCACTTAATGATGTCAGCTTCGCACAACGGATGTTCGAACGTTGGAGAGGGACGGAAGAAAGAAACAGATTAGCTCAACCAGGACATAATTCAATCACCACGCACACACACGCATCCTGACGGGGCCAAGTGCGTAATTGTAGGAGAGTTACACCTAACGACTTTTCCATGACATCAAACATGCATGAAATGTTTAATTTGCTGTAATAATGCAAGCAAAAGTAAGAAATCTTTGAGATTTTCAAATTATCTCCCAAAAAGTGCAGTAAGATATTGAATACACTGATGTTTCAAGTGAACAAGAAGTTTGCGAACGACCACCCTGGTGACAAAGGGCCAGCGAAAATGACCATGTGTGCACATGTCATCTTCATCCAGTTTCAACTAAAAGTATATTTTTCCACTTCCTGTTACTAACATTTACAATGCAGGTAGAATCTATGTACAGCAAACACAGGCTCTACATGTATGTATCAAGAAAACTGAAGATATCGACGTTATTTCCAACAAAATACCAGCTTGGTCATGGTGGTAAAATTCTGCAGGGTGACAATGCCACAACTGAGCCGTTCTAGAGAACAACAATCATCAACAAAGTCGCAAATCTTACAAGAGATCTGATGATAGAGAAAAAGTGTCTGTAACACACAATATCACCACGATAGATAAGTGCGAATCATTTTCCCACAAGCCCTGATGTACAACAAAGATAGGTCAGTGGTAGAAAACGTCCTAACTCAAGACAACATAATCTACACATAAACCCACACAGTCTAAATCATACTGGAAAACCCAGGCCTCCCTCCACTGTCCGCCTACCACGGCTCTCTCAGGGCTTCCCCCGCCGCCTGCAAATGCGATTTTCGCTGCCACTTCCACTCATCAAAGTCCTCGAAATTTCTCTCCCGACGTCACGCCGGCTCACCCGGCCCGCGCCCAGGGCCAGGGCCTATCAGCCGCGCATAACCGGCGGGCACACCGCTCGCCAAGACACGCCAGCCTCCTTAAGCCTGACAAACCGCCGCCGCCGCACGCCGAGATAGGACGGTCTTTACTCCCACCTCATTTTTTTCATCAGCAGTGCCCTGTTTAGAAATTATTAAAACGGCGCGAGGTTACCCCAATCCTGGTTCCCGGACCCTGATATCTCTGTCGTGCATCCATCACCGTCCGAATAAATGCACAGAAGCAAACAAGGAGGGGAGGACATCTTTCAAACAGGTCCTTAGAGTAATGCGCACAATTATTTGGGAGAATCTCGCCGTAAGCAAGAACTAAATTTCACTGCTTGATAAACTCGGGCCCAGAAAATGCGCCATTTATCTTAACCCGCGGGTTGACGAATGGGCTATCTGCAGCGAGGAATTATACATTTTGTGGGCTTCAGCACATCGTGGTCGAGACTTTGCATGGAATGTGGCAGCGCCGCGGTGTAATTAAGTCCAGCAATGGCCCAAGAGACCCACATAATCTTACCGTCGACATCCCATGTCATTTGTCTGCTGTCGTTACTCCCGTCCTGGGTCACAATGTTAGCACCTCCAGCTCTGAATGATATGTGCAAAATGATGATATATGTGGGCTGCTGACAAACTGTGTGTTATAGAAACTCCAAATGACACGATTTTCCCGCTAATTTACCTCTGGGGGAAGCGCGAGTCACCGCCGGGCCCTAAATCTTCCCCCTCATTAAAATTCCGGGTCGCAGAAAGCTGGGCAAACGGAAATGACAGGCTCCCTTCACGGTTCATAATCTGGGGATGCGCTTTATTAAAGCAGGGATGAGGGGGTGAACTTCTACGAGGAGACATACATCACGCCCAAGTGTGAGAAACTTTGCAACACCTGCACACGACACCTGCGAGACTCCCGCAGGTGAGTGTTTTGAAACGGCGATGCGTGTGGCAGTCAGTCACTCCGTCATGGCACGACTTCTCCATCAAAAAGTCGCATCACACATTGTTATCGATGATAAACTAGTTCTATATGTAGAATAGATTAGGCCGGTACTGTTTTTGTTTCATGGTTGAGACTGTACAGTGATTATCGAGCAATAAACTCTGATTCTGTATCTGTATAGCCGGTATAACTGCCCTTTGGCATAACACACCAGCTTCGGAGGCACGCGGCATGGTGGCAGCTGACTAAATTACACCGAGCGACTTGTTACACCTAATCCTTGAACATCTGACTGTAAACATTGTTTAAAGCTATCTATGTTCATTCATTCACTCATTCAAGGATGCAGCGAGAAAAAAACACCACTAACAGCTCTTCATGTGGTGGTAAAATATTCAACACTGACATCCATCAAGTCACCATTCTTTCTCACAGTGGCCTTTGAGTTTGAACCTAGCAGCATACATGTAGGTGACGAAAAAGGAAGAAGAAAAAAAAACAGAAGTTGGTCATTGGGAAATGGTGAGGTGTTCAGAGACACGTCAATCAATCACAGCACCTTGTTTCCCAAAGAGACCTTTTATACATACATGTAATAATTTATGTACAACACGGATGGCAAAAAAAAAAATGTATTATCACGATGCTACAACAGTCACCCACAGTTCTGGACTTTTCTGTAACAATTGCTGTCATACATTTGTACCATGTACGATTGTTGAGCAGTAAAGTTCATTCACTTATTTGAAATATTCGGTTAGTAATACACACTCACTACAAATTCAGATAACAGGATTCAAAATGGCTACTGCACTCCGAGTTGAAATACTGTATCAATAATATCAATGCTGCATTTACCCAAATTTCAAAAATCACAAGAATTTTTCCCCACTGAACCTCCACAGAGAGGTGGGACACCAGAAAACAGGCCTTTGGGACCTCCTGATGTTGCTGTTTCAGTGGTAAAAACACACACTTATTATCCAGTTTTACGTCCTTTGTTCACGTCTTGCACGGGTTCAACATAAATTTCCCGCAAAACTGCTGACGGTGTGGTTCAAATGAAGATCTACACGACGGCCCAAACTTTCTGACAAGATACGCGAACCTCCTGGAAGCAAGACGGACGAACATTAAAGACACAAACACCTCGGGAAAGGCAGCGCCCGACATCAAAGTCATACCTGCGAGTTTTGTGACGTGATTTGGGCAGATTACGCTCCCACAGGCATCGTCAGAATAAGAGATAGAAATGGACTTTCAGAGGAGCGTCGGAGTAATCAGAGTGGGGGAAATCAGTCATACGTCATTCGCAAGCTGCATGGTCGAGGCACTAATTGTCCAAATTGACGCATTCGGGAGGAGAACTCGCCCAAACTTCCCCAGTTAACAGCTTGACTCGTAGGAGATATGCCTGGCGGATGTGATTACGTTTCCCGCCTTTATTAGCGATTCCTCATCGTTACTTTTCAACTAATTAATGTCCTTGATTGTCGAGCCTGATTACTTGTCACTTACGACGCTGAAGTGGCGGGCTGTTTTTCTCGTTTATGGCTGCGAGTGCCAAGGACTCGTAGTACATTACTGTGGGCTTAATTACAACTATGCTTGTCAAGACATATTGGGCCCACAAAATATCAGATAAACATTGTGATGCATCTCCGAGAAACTTCCCCAAGCTCTGCCACAATGATGAAGTAAAGAAATCGTAATCGGCCGTAAGAAATTTCACGTGTCCTTCCTTCTCAATTATCCGGAATGACAGAAACGTAAGCCCGCCGCGCGAATATTCATCAGTTTACATCCCTTCTCCAATTCTTTCAAATTTCTGCCATTTTACGACTTCCAATAGAAATGCAATAACAATAAAAAAGGAGGCATTTGGGGAGGTAAAATGCAGACCAAGGGAATAAATGTAAATACTTCTCTAAGCTTAGTACTACTAGCTCCATCCCTCAGTAACTTTTGGCTGAAGGCTGAAATTGTCCGTTTACACATTATTCACAATGCCCTAGAGATTGATGCTAGAATCTATGTATTTGTGCAGTGCAAGCAGATTTAAATGTGGCATTTACA